TAGTTTAAAAAATAATTTATTTAACAAAATTTAATTAAAGACGTGACAAAATAGTTACATTTCTATTGGTTCTATCGGACTTTTTTCGACTGTATAAATCTTTATTTTTTGTACTAACTTTAATGCATAAAATATTTTCAATCTAATAAATAATTTAATGATGTAAATAAGAGGAAATTTCTCACATGGGTGGTCAAATTCTATAGTTTTCATTATATCAAACAGCCTCTGAATGTTTTATTCAGTGCAAAACTCATCAAAATTTAATATAAATAATTTTTCCAGCCCGTCAAAAAAAAATGAACAAATTTTTCCACTTTCATGATCAAAGGCTTTTAAATGGGTAAATAATTTCGAGTTATCCAGAGATTCGGATTCTTTTGCAAATTTTAGACAAATATCACATTGATGTATTTGAAGACCCTTTTTAATGATGTAGTCAAACATAATTAAAGGCATTTTGAATTGAAAACATTTCTCAGAGGCTGTTTGATATAATGAAAACTATAAAATTTGACCACCCATGTGAGAAATTTCCTATTATTTACATCATTAAATGATTTATTAGATTGAAAATATTTGATGTATTAAGGTTTACAAATAAAGATTTATATAGTCGAAAAAAGTCCGATAGAACCAATAGAAAGGTAACTGTTTTGTCACATTTTTAATTAAATTTTGTTAAATAAATGAATTTTTTATACTATAAATATCTTTTTTTTCCTTATAAATAAACACATTTGCATCCCATTTTAAATAAGATATACAAATTACCAAAACTTAGAAATAACAATTCAAAATTTCAACAAAAAATCCTACACGCGTTTTTAAAGAAACATATAACCACGCACTATGTCATTCCAGCAAGCGAATACGACACAGCATAGGTTTCCGGACTAAACGACTGGTGTATTTACACCACTCAATAGGCGTGTCGGGTTTGCCGAGCGGTTTCCGATGCAGTCGCTTTCTTTCGCATCTGTTATAGGTAATTTGTGGTAATAGCAAGACTATTAACTTCAATCTACTGAGGTGTTTGTTGAGGAGACAGTGTCCTGTTAACCCCGTGACAATCCAGAGATTGTTCTTAAAGTAAGAAAGTATTATTTACACACTACTTGATGATAAAAAGATGAAGAGTTATAAATTTGAGTATCTAAATATAACTCAAACATAAAGGATTTATATTTTATTTACATCCGCTATACCATAATACTTTATTACACTAATAATATATGATCTGAGCGGAAACCGGCTGTATAACTGTATTATTTATATAATTATAAACATATAATGAATGATAAGACTAAAATTTAATTATTGTTAGATACCCTAAGCACTATAATTTAAGACAATTGTAATATATTATTTAAAAATTATAAAATAATTATTTTTATACTTTCCTGGGTCTTTTTTATTCCTTACTTCGTAGAAAAATTAAAACCACGTAAAATAAAAAGATTAGCATATACAGGGTCCGGCAATAGTGCGTCGGGAATCTGTAGCTCCTAGAATAAAGTATACAAGCAAAAACCAAGAAAAAAAAGCAAACCTAAAGTATGTACGACGATTTACCAGCAAAGCCACAAAGGCTCTCATGATATGCAGAAGACTGGCGGGAAATAGGTGGGGCTGCGCCCCCAACATTTTGCGCTGGATGTATACCATGATAGTAAGACCCATGATTACTTATGGAGCAGTTGCTTGCTATAGAAAACTAGAGTAACGTAGAGCAAGGCAAAACCTGTGCAAAGTACAGAGACTGGCATGTATCTGCATCACAGGTGCCATGAGAACATGTCCAACAGCAGCAATGGAGGTCATTCTAGACCTAACACCACCGCATATTGTCGTCGGTAGTTAGCCAATGCGACAATGATTAGAATGGTCATTGACGGAAACAGTATTGGGAGAATTTTTAGGTCAGGGGCTTGGAACACCCTCAAAAAGAAAATTCCACTTCTTCAACTCCCAGTGGATGACATATCAAGAATTTACAACTTTGAGAAACACCTCACTGTAGTATTGAGTAATATAAAGGATTGGGAAGAAAGAAACGCTTACTCAGCATATAAAAGACCATCACGTGGTATACTGATGCTTCCAAAATCAAAGCAGGGACAGGGATAGGAGTATTTGGGCCGAAAACCAAATACTCCGAACCAATGGGCACCTACCCCAGTATCCTTCAGGCAGAAATTTACGATATCGAAAGATGCGTACAATTTATCTTAGATAGGAACTATCGAAAACAGGAAATTGCCATCCTATCCAATATAGTCAAGCAGCACTTAACGCGATCAACTCAGTAACCATCAATTCGAAGTTGGTCAGAGAATGCCTAGAGAAGCTCAACAAATTAGGCAAAGAAAATAAAGTCTTCCTACTCTGGGTGCCTGCTCACCAAGGGATAGAAGGCAACGAAAAAGCAAATGATCTAGCTGGGAAAGAAGCGAGCACTCCACTAACTGGACCAGAACCGTTCTGTTTTCCAAACGGGAACGAACTGAAAGCGGAACTGAAGAATCTGGAAGACTCCATCCGTAACTTGGAATGGGTGTCCTCCAACGGTCTAAGACACTCGAGAAAAAGTTCCTCAGAACTTACGACCGAGAAAAATCAAAGGTTTTCCTTGATTTAAGTAAAAACAATCTTCGGATTGTCACAGGGTTTCTAACAGGACACTGTTTCCTCAACGAACACCTCAGTAGGCTGAAGCTGAGACACAACGGCGAATGCAGATTCTGTGGGGAAAATGGGGAAACACCAGAACACCTTATCACTGAGCGCGCCGAGACGACGACCTTTCGTGAAATGAACTTTGGTACGTCTGGTGTCGAGGATGGAGAGCTGGCCTCTGTGGAGCCGTCTCAGATACTGGCTTTTGCTAAAGCCCTGAGACTGTATGATGAGTTATAACGAGTTATAACTCATCATACAGTCTCAGGGCAAGAAAGGGGAACACACAATAGATCTATAAGGTCGCGGTAATTAACTCCCCTCCTAAACATTCTACAATGGTTCTACTACGATGTACGACGATGTATTTCAGGAAAATGTTTTAACTTCTATAAGGTGGCTCAAAAAGTGTACACCTAGCAAGAAGAACGGATAACAGATGGACCACAAAAATGACAGCATGGTACACAAGGAATTAAGAGACCTAGATGAACAGCAAACCTAAGATGGGCCCATGATATTAGGAAATTCGCATCATGTATTTCCCAATACAATAGCAAATAATTTATGGTTTCTATAACGCTCGTTTTTCATCACAGTCTCCTTAATAATGTCTCCGCATATGTATTTTAATTCTTGCATAACCATTTAATTGTCTTTTATTTATTAGTATACTTGATAAACAATAGATTAATATGTATAAAGCAGTCTCCGTTAAAAAAAATAAGGTCATCGTCCTGTTTTGGAATATCTATAAAAAGAAAAATTAACTATTAAAGTTAAAGGTCAGTCGACACCTAACGTTTTAGCTGTTCAGTCAAAACGTATCAAGTAAATACTTGGGGTCAACTTTCGTTTAGCTGAGATCAGTTATTAGAAAAAACAAATTTGTCTTTAAAAAGCTACTGTGAACCACGGAAAGCACAAATTTTCCTGCGGAAATGCGTAATTTCCAAATTTCACACTTTAGAATAACTGAAATCTGCTATAAAAAATACATTTTGCGTTTTTTTAATATTTTTCTGAACATATAAACTCAAAAATTTTCCTGCGGAAATAAGCTGTTTTCATTTTCTAAGGAAATTTATTAGACTTTAGAATAGCTGAAATCAGTTATATAAAAAATAAATATATTTTTGCCTTTTAGAAGCGTTTACAAACTCAGGAAAATAAAAAATTTTCTGCGGAAATGCTTGATTTTCATTTTCCATTTTTGTAAGCATAAATACATAAAAAATTATCTTTTCATTAGTTTTGAACCAAAAACAAAAATCATTTAAAAGTGTCTAAAATGCTAACCAATCTAATAATAAATCTAATAATATTTTTACAAAATCACAGGTAAATGAATAGTTGAAATCAGTTATATAAAAAATAAATATATTTTTGCCTTTTAGAAGCATTCACGAATTGAGGAAAATAAAAATTTTCCTGCGGAAATAAACTGTATCCATTTTCTGAGGAAATTTAATAGACTTTAGAATAGCTGAAATCAGTTATATAAAAAATAAATATATTTTTGCTTTTTAGAAGCCGTTACAAACTCAGGAAAATAAAAAATTTCCTGCGGAAATGCTTGATTTTCAATTTCCATTTTTTTAAAGCATAAATACATAAAAAATTATCTTTTTATTACTTTTGAACCAAAAAAAAATCATTTAAAAGTTTTTGCTAAAAAAATGCTAACCAATCTAATAATAAATCTAATAATATTTTTACAAAATCACAGGTAAATGAATAGTTGAAATCAGTTATATAAAAAATAAATATATTTTTGCCTTTTAGAAGCATTCCCGAATTGAGGAAAATACAAATTTTCCTGCGGAAATAAACTGTATCCATTTTCTGAGGAAATTTAATAGACTTTAGAATAGCTGAAATCAGTTATATAAAAAATAAATATATTTTTGCTTTTTAGAAGCGGTTACAAACTCAGGAAAATAAAGAATTTCCTGCGGAAATGCTTGATTTTCAATTTCCATTTTTTTAAAGCATAAATACATAAAAAATTATCTAATGAAATAATGTTTTATGAACTCTGCTATATCGTATACAATAATATAATGCGAAAAGAAAAAATTGCAATTTCAAAACTACCAGATAAGTTAAAACAGTTTAATGCAAAGTCATTTTAACTCGATTTTATTGGAAAGATGTGTTAAAACAATTAAAAAAACAAACACCTTTTGTGCAATATAAAATGTTTTATTAGGTTTTGTTAGATTATCAAAAGATATGAAAAAGCCAGACAACAGAGACACTGTCTTTTTAATTAGATGTATTTCAAAACACCCAAATGCATCGGCAAGTAAAGATAAAATAAAATATTCTAATAAATGAAGTATTTAGAAGAAACAAAATTGTAGAGATGTCAGCAGAGACAGTCTGTATATGTTATCCCACCGGTATACCGATTCATTTTAATAAGACCTACAAACTATTACGTTCTAATTAAAAATTAAACATTTGCTAGTTGGCGAAACATTTTCATAAGCTGCTAAACTGCCAGGTTGATTCTCATTCATCAACTGGCCAACATATACTAAACATTTATATCCATTGCATATATTGTTTATTGCTATATAAGTGAAAGTGAATTTGGTCCCGGTTGTGACAAGTTTTCGGAAAAACCCGAATTGATAGTGAGTGAATTCCTTTTGAAAAATTCACCAATAACATCATTCTTCGTTTACGGTATGACCAAGAATTTTATGAAACAGGGTAAGTACCACTTCTATCTATTATAATGATACGTTCTATTTCTCTAAAGTTACATCATAGTAATTTTAATAATTGTTTGTATAAGATATTTATCTATCTAAAAGTATACACAGAAAATACAATTTTATATTACAGTTTGATATGTATTTCTTTTATCAAGACTTTGTTTATTAAAATTTTTATGTCCTGTTTCAATAAAATATACAAGGTGTTCCAATATCCCTCTTGTAAGAAAAGATAAGAAAAGATACAAAAATGTTTAGTTTTGGTGTTGTTAGAAACTGGATTTTTCAACGCCTTGTTTTTGAATTAGTTTTTTTGGTAGCTAAAATGCTTCCTACAAGTCACACTGAACTAGTGAGACTAAAATAGTCTACATTTTCGAATTTTACGTCTTTTAAGAATAAATAACAGTAATTTTCGGAAAAAAGTCGAAAAATTGACCATTTTTGGCGATTTTTTTACCAGTTTTGAAGTCTCTTAGAAAATTAGTAATCATGGTAGTAAAATTTTGAAAATTTCTGAGTTTGTAGGAAATTTTATGTAGATTTAGAATATATAATAATTTAATAGCTTAAGAATTTCAGTTTTGCAAGAAACTCGATTTTTCGAACCCTTGTTTTCGAACGATTTTTCAAGGTAACTAAAATCTTACCTACAGGCCTTCTACAGGTCGTACTGAACTCGCCAGGCCAAAATGGCATATATTTTCGTGTTCTACGCTTTTTAAATAGTAAATAACAGTTTAGTTCAAAATGGTGGTGACCTGACCAAAATCAAAAAATTTCATGAGTATGTATGAAAACAAAGGTAAAAAAGTTGACCATTTTTGGCTATTTTTTACCAGTTTTCAAGACTCTTAGAAAAATAGTAAACATGGTTGTAAAATTATGAAAATTTCAGTATTTGTAGCAAATTTTATGTAGATTTAGAATATGTAATGAATTAATAGCTTAAGTACTTCAGTTTTGCAAGAAACCAGATTTTTTAAACCCATGTTTTTCAAATAAAATAGAATAAAAGATTCATGTCAGTATATTTAAAAATGTAAACTAGCTACGATAAAAAAATAATTTATGGCACATTATTTGTTATTAATAACTGTAATTTTTTTGAAGGTTGTTCGTAACTAGTAGCATTAATATATTAAGTACCTAAGTTTTCATTGACATAGGTAATTTTATAGCTTCATCGTCACATACGTAATATTATTTTTATTATGCATTTAAAATAACTTTGTAATACAATTTAATAACCACCATTTTTATGCTTTTAGAAAATTAGTAAACAAAACAATTTAAAAGTATATATAGTTATCGATTTTCGAAAGAAATCAGTACATGTATATTATTTCGTATATTTTTCATTTTATTGATTTTATGGAAAGCACTGTTCATTAAAATGTTGTATCCTATGTTATAGGGGTTGTTTCTCTCTACAATTTTCTGTCTCACAATTTACCGTTTGTGTCCGGGAAGGGTTTATAGTTTCATAGTTGTCGATTTTCGAAAGAAATCAGTACATGTATATTATTTCGTATATTTTTCATTTTATTGATTTTATGGAAAGCACTTTTCATTAAAATATTGTATCCTATGTTATAGAGGTTGTTTCTCTCTACAATTTTCTGTCTCACAATTTACCGTTTGTGTCCGGGAAGGGTTTATAGTTTTCATAGTTGTCGATTTTCTAGAAAAGAAATCCAGTACATGTATATTATTTCGTATATTTTTCATTTTATTGATTTTATGGAAAGTACTGTTCATTAAAATGTTGTATCCTATGTTATAGGGCTTGTTTCTCTCTATAATTTCCTGTCTCACAATGTACCGTTTGTGTCGGGAAGAATAATAGTTTCATAGTTGTCGATTTTCGAAAGAAATCAGTACATGTATATTATTTTCAATATATTTTTCATTTTATTGATTTTATGGAAAGCACTGTTCATTAAAATGTTGTATCCTATGTTATGGGGCTTGTTTCTCTCTACAATTTCCTGTTTCACAATGTACCCGTTTGTGTCGGGGAAGGGATCATAGTTTCATAGTTACCGATTTTCGAAAAAAGAAATCAAGTTTTTGTATATTATTTCGTATATTTTTCATTTCATTGATTTTATGGAAAGCACTGTTCATTAAAATGTTGTATCCTATATTATAGGGCGTGTTTCTCTCTACAATTTCCTGTCTCATGTGCTGTTGTGTCGGGGAAGGGATCATAGTTTCATAGTTATCGATTTTCGAAAGAAATCAGTACATGTATATTATTTCGTATATTTTTCATTTTATTGATTTTATGGAAGGCACTGTTCATTAAAATGTTGTATCCTATGTTATAGGGCTTGTTTCTCTCTACAATTTCCTGTTTCACAATGTACCATTTGTGTCCGGGAAGGGTTCATAGTTTCAATGTTGTCGATTTTCGAAAGAAATCAGTACATGTATATTATTTCGTATATTTTTCATTTTATTGATTTTATGGAAAACACTGTTCATTAAAATGTTGTAACCTATGTTATAGGGCTTGTTTCTCTCTACAATTTCCTGTCTCGCAATGTACCGTTTGTGTCCGGTAAGGATTCATAGTTTCATAGTTGTCGATTTTCGAAAGAAATCAGTACATGTATATTATTTCGTATATTTTTTATTTTATTGATTTTATGGAAAAAACTGTTCATTAAAATGTTGTATCTTATGTTATAGGGCTCTCTCTACAATTTCCTGTCTTACAATGTACCTTTTGTGTCGGGGAAGGGATCATAGTTTCATAGTTGCCGATTTTCGAGAAAGAAATCCCATTACATGTATAGTATTCGTATATTTTTCATTTCATTGATTTTATGGAAAGCACTGTTTATTAAAATGTTGTATCCTATGTTATAGGGCTTGTTTCTCTCTACAATTTCCTGTCTCAAAATGTACTGTTTGTGTCGGGGAAGGGATCATAGTTTCATAGTTGTCGATTTTCGAAAGAAATCAGTACATGTATATTATTTCGTATATTTTCTATTTTATTGATTTTATGGAAAGCACTGTTCATGAAAATGTTGATCCTATGTTATAGGGCTTGTTTCTCTCTACAATTTCCTGTCTCAAAATATACTGTTTGTGTCGGGGAAGGGATCATAATTTCATAGTTGTCGATTTTCGAAAGAAATCAGTAGATGTATATTATTTCGTATATTTTCTATTTTATTGATTTTATGGAAAGCACTGTTCATGAAAATGTTGATCCTATGTTATAGGGCTTGTTTCTCTCTACAATTTCCTGTCTCAAAATGTACTGTTTGTGTAGGGGAAGGGATCATAGTTTCATAGTTGTCGATTTTCGAAAGAAATCAGTACATGTATATTATTTCGTATATTTTTTTGTTTCATTGATTTTATGGAAAGCACTGTTCATTAAAATGTTGTATCCTATGTTATGGGGCTTGTGTCTCTCTACAATTTCCTGTCTCACAATGTACCGTTGTGTCGGGAGAGGATCATAGTTTCATAGTTGCCGATTTTCGAAAGAAATCAGTACATGTATATTATTTCGTATATTTTTCATTTCATTGATTTTATGGAAAGCACTGTTCATTAAAATGTTGTATCCTATGTTATGGGGCTTGTGTCTCTCTACAATTTCCTGTCTCACAATGTACCGTTTGTGTCGGGGAAGGGATCATAGTTTCATAGTTGCCGATTTTCGAAAGAAATCAGTACATGTATATTATTTCGTATATTTTTCATTTCATTGATTTTATGGAAAGCACTGTTCATTAAAATGTTGTATCCTATGTTATAGGGCTTGTTTCTCTCTACAATTTCCTGTTTCACAATGTACCGTTTATTATGTCGGGGAAGGGATCATAGTTTCATAGTTGCCGATTTTCGAAAAGAAATCAGTACATGTATATTATTTCGTATATTTTTCATTTTATTGATTTTATGGAAAGCACTGTTCATTAAAATAATGTTTGTATCCTATGTTATAGGGCTTGTTTCTCTCTACAATTTCCTGTCTCACAATGTACCGTTTGTGTGTCAGGGGAAGGGATCATAGTTTCATAGTTGACGATTTTCGAAAGAAATCAGTACATATATATTATTTCGTATATTTTTCATTTTATTGATTTTATGGAAAGCACTATTCATTAAAATGTTGTATCCTATGTTATGGGGCACGACTGTGTCTCTCTACAATTTCCTGTCTCACAATGTACCGTTTGTGTCGGGAAGGGATCATAGTTTCATAGTTGCCGATTTTCGAAAGAAATCCCAGTACATGTATATTATTTCATTATATTTTCATTTCATTGATTTTATGGAAAGCACTGTTCATTAAAATGTTGTATCCTATGTTATAGGGCTTGTTTCTCTCTACAATTTCCTGTACTCACAATGTACCGTTTGTGTCAGGGAAAGGGATCATAGTTTCATAGTTGACGATTTTCGAAGAAATCAGTACATGTATATTATTTCGTATATTTTTCATTTTATTGATTTTATGGAAAGCACTGTTCATTAAAATGTTGTATCCTATGTTATGGGGCTTGTGTCTCTCTACAATTTCCTGTCTCACAATGTACCGTTTGTGTCGGGGAAGGGATCATAGTTTCATAGTTGCCGATTTTCGAAAGAAATCAGTACATGTATATTATTTCGTATATTTTTCATTTCATTGATTTTATGGAAAGCACTGTTCATTAAAATGTTGTATCCTATGTTATAGGGCTTGTTTCTCTCTACAATTTCCTGTTTCACAATGTACCGTTTGTGTCGGGGAAGGGATCATAGTTTCATAGTTGCCGATTTTCGAAAGAAATCAGTACATGTATATTATTTCGTATATTTTTCATTTCATTGATTTTATGGAAAGCACTGTTCATTAAAATGTTGTATCCTATGTTATAGGGCTTGTTTCTCTCTACAATTCCTGTTTCACAATGTACCGTTTGTAATGAGGAAGGGATCATAGTTTCATAGTTGCCGATTTTCGAAAGAAATCAGTACATG